CTGAAGTTTTTTAATTTTTTTATTTATTTTTATTTTTTATTTTTATGTTTGTTTATTTTTGATTGAGAGAGAGAGAGAACAAATGGGGGAGGAGCAGAGAGAGAGAGAGAGAGGGAGACAAAGAATCTGAAGCAGGCTCCAGACTCCGAGCTGTCAGCATAGCCTGATGCAGGGCTTGAACCCACAAGGTCATGTGAGGTCATGACCTGAGCCTAAGTCAGACGCTTAACCACTGAGCCACCCAGGTGCCCCATGATTTTTTTATTGTTAGGAAATCTTGGTATCCAACCATTCTGTGAGTGGTACTCACACTCATCACCCCAAGATCAAGAGTCATGTGGTCCACTGAGTGAGCCAGCCAGGCACCCCTGTTTTAATTTTAATTAAATAATATGTGCCTTATTTGAAATGTCATATAGTTTTGCCAGGCTTGTAACAAAACTCAGCAGTCTCTACCAGCAGTCCTACTTTTTCTCTCCTAGAGGTAATTACTTTCTGTTTTATCTGATTTTCCCCCCTAGATTTTACCTTCCTGTGTAATAAGATTATATAGTTACATGTTAATAGGTATTTTCAACTGTTGACCTGCTCCTATGAAAGATTTGTTGGTCTGTTTATGTCCATTTATGGAAGAATTAGCATTTTTTAAAAATATTTTTTTTTGTTTATTTTTGAGAGAGTGCAAGTCGGGGAGAGCAGAGAGAGGGTGATAGAGGATCCAAAGTGGGCTCTGTGCTGACAACAGAGAGCCTGATGCGGGGCTTGGACTCATGAATGGTGAGATCATGACCTGAGCTGAAGTCACATGATTAACCAACTGAGCCACCCTGACACCCCAAAGAATTAGCCTTTTTACCCTTGCCACCTCTTTCCAATTGTTTTAGAATTAGTATTGTGTATTTATATTATTAGGATCATGTAAATACTCACTCTTGAGCAGAGTATTATACTGTAGTTACATTTCTTGTACAGTGTCTTTCATTCCTGTAATTAGTAGTTGCCAATTTGTATGCATGAGTTTGTCTGCCCCTGCAAGCTTGAGATGTTTTAAAAATCTTTAAGAGACTAAATTACATGTAAAGTATATGTTTAATCCCCTCCCCTCTGAACCATCTTACCTAAAGTCCTTTTATTATCTCTTTAAAAAAATTTTTTAATGTTTTACTTAGAGAGCGCGCGAGCACGAGCAGGAGAGGGGCAGAGAAAGGGAGAGAAAGAATCCCAAGCAGGCTTTGTGCTGCCAGTGCAGAGCCCAGTGCGAGGCTTTAACCCAGGAACCATGAATCGAGTTGTATGCTTAACCGACTAAGCCACCCAGGCATCCCGGTCCTTTTATTCTCTTGATCCTATTTGAACTAGTATCCTTGGGATGTGTGCACAGTAGTCTGTCTTGGATCTCCTTTCACATCATCCTGGGGATTCTCTTTGAACATGAACTTGGAGTGGCTGGAAGGCTCTGTCATTTGAGCTGTTGACTCTTGATTTCAGCTTAGGTCACAATCTCAAGGTTTTTGAGTTTGAGCCTCGTGTTGGGCTCCTCCTCCTCCATGACACGGCAAGACGCGAGTATAGTGGAGTCTGCTTGGGATTCTCTCTCACTGTCTCCCCTGCTCCCCCTTTCTCTGTCCCTCCTGTGCACAGATACTCTCTCAAAATAAATAAACAAACATGAGCTTCTTTACACATACTGCTTTCGTTTCTTTTTCTTTCTCTTTTTAATTTCTGAACTCTTAACATCAGGTTTTTGCTTACAAATCACTTACTTAGAGACTCTCTTCCTGACTTCTTCATTCTGCGGTGGGTTATGCTTATATTTGATACACAGTACTCTACTTGGTTTCTTCTTGGCATTTATCACAAAATATGTGAGTAGTTTTACTTACTCATTCACCTCTTTTTGTCCTTACTCTTCATCACTTGACTAAGTTCCATAAAGTGGGGACTGTTACCATTTCATTTACCGTCGGATATTTACTACTGAGGGTATACGGTACTCAAAAAATATATGAATGTATGACTTTTAGATACAGTGAAGACTTAAATGCTGAGGGTGATATTATCTTGTTGGACTTTGTCTAGAATGGAGTTGGCACACCATGGCCCAGTGTACCACATCTTGTCAGCTGCTTGTTTTTGTAACATGGCTGATGCTCGTTTGTTTACATATGGTCTGTGGCTCCTTTCAAAATACTATGGCTGAGCTGCTTAGTTGTGAAAGAGACTGTATGGCCTGCAAAGTCTAAAATATTTGCTTTCTCACCCATTAAAGAAAAGTTTGCTGACTTCAGTCTTACACAGTTAAACATTTTACATTAGAACACTGATTTGGACCATTAGGCAAACTGTAGTTTTTGAAAACACTTTTCCCTTCTGGATTTAACTTTGGATTCCTTTTATAGTTGTATATACTGTATATGAAATGCCAGTATGTTAGTCAAGGTCCAGTCAGGGGCTTGAAGAAGCAATTTATTAAAGAGAAGTACTTATACAAATGTTAGAGGTTTAAAGAATGAATGGGACCAGGAGGACAACCAGAGATGATGAGGAAGACGACGATGAAGATGAATGACAACAACTACGATAACTGAGGAAGCAGCTCTTCCCTGAAGCCTGGGGAAACAAAGGAGGAGGGTTGTCAGAATCTAAGAGTCACTCAGAGTCACTTAGAAGTGGGCCCTGTGAAGGAAGCTCAGATTTAAAGTTAAGAGATGCTACTTGGCTATTTCTTGTACCTCTGAGAGGAGTACCATGAGATTGGTTCTTGGAAGCTGCCCTTTGGAATCATTGCTGCTTCTGAGTGACTAACATTTCGTGGTCTCCTCCTGCCTTCTAGTCTTTTAGTGCCATGCAGGCAGTGGAGGAAGATCTTAACAGGAAGCCAGCTGGAGATGAAAAATATAGCTTGCAGAGTTCCAGCCTCATCATCACAAAGCATAGAACAGAAGGTGGATTTGAAGTAGAGAGACAACATTAGAATAACTGGCAAAGTGTCTTCTCCCTCACTCCTTCAATACATCTGTTAAAAATATCTGAAATATTTGCACTTGTAAATCTAGGTTTTTTTTTTTTTTGTAAGTATTGTCTTTAATACTGGTTTAACATTATTTATTCCTAATTTTAAAAAGTATTTTTTCTACTTTATTTCAGTATCAGATATAGAAGGTGGTGATGGACTGCAGCTCAGAAAGGAACATACTCTCAAAATATTTGCTTATATCAATTCCTGGACACAGAGGTATGCATCTTTAAGTACTTTAAAGACTAACTTTGTGAGTTGTACTTTAAATTGGCATTGGTTGTCATGAAATTTACTTTCTAGGATGTTCGATTGTATACCTTTGGTCATTAAGTGACAGTTGATCGATATTTATTAAATCTTCTTCCCTTCTTAAACATGAGGCCACTGATGGTTTTATTTTTAAAACATGAGAATAAAAATCAGGTTCTTTAACTCCTCTTTCATTATTTAGAAATAGAGTGAATGAAATTCTAACAGTAATTATTTTGAGAGATAAAAGAATTTTTATGGCATAGATTGAGACCTATAACAAAATTAATCTGTTACAAAAATCAGTTCTATGGTAGTGGACACTTTGACCCTTGTGGAGGCCACTTCTTATTTGTTCCATTTGCATAATAAATAGGTGTATTAGTCCAATTTTTAAGAAATACATATATTGAGAATATATATAGAATCAAAATTTGTAACAGGAATTTGTAAATTCCTGTTCTCTCAACATGATGTTAGTCTGTCATGGCTAAAGATTCTTTTTTACTTGTTTGCCTGTCCCATTAGTCCTAAAATTTTTATGGGTAGAAAAAAATTTTTTTCTTATGGGTAAAGAATGTTTGAAGCTTTGTGTGCAATGATTAGTGAACATTTTAAATGCATTTAACGTAAATAAATGTCCTGAGGTTCACAGTCGAGCTGATCATAGAGTTTATCTTCAAATAGCATTTGCTCTAGGTAATAATCCGTTTTTCTTATGTTTTTTCCTTCTTTGTCAGTAAAATTGGTACACATATTTGTTCTACAAAAGATTGAGATTGTAGTTATTTAAAACTTAAATGCCAAGCTTTGCACAGTGGCAGTATTGTAGCCAGTGAGGTTTATCTGAGGCGTGATTATGGCTGATTGAAAACTTACCTGCCATTATTACTGGTGTCTCTTTTCTGATTTACTTTTGGCTAAGTTTAGGAATGGTTGCCAACACCTCTGTTCCTTTCCTTATGGGTAGAGTAAATGATTGGATATTTCCTAATACTAATGTTAATGATTTAAAATTAACATTAGTAGTCCAAAGGATTTGCTGAGTATTGTGGCATTTGAGTTATAATTTTGGATGTATTTGCTGTAACTACAGCGAGGTGGCAATGTGCTATGCCACTAAGTAAAGTGAAATTCAGAGAAATGATTTTCATGTTTCACCTCTAGCTATTGGTGGTGCTGGGTGGAAGTTACATTTTCCATTCTTAGTCCACTTTTATCATTGATGTATACTCTTAATCCTTAGATCAGGAATTTTTAACCTAGAGTATGTGGATGGGAATGAAATTACAAAGGAAGTATTGATGTATATAATTTTAGGCATAATTTGTAGGTTTTATCATAATATCAAAGGATGTTTGTCCCCAAACTACAGAGATCCTCTTAACTTTTATCTCTTCTTGTTGTAGACTATAGTGGTTAAGAGTGTGGCTGTGGAACCAGGTTGATGTGGCTTGGAGTCTTTCTTTTTTTTTTTTTTTTTTATAAAAAAATTTTTTTTTAATCTTTATTTTTGAGAGAGAGAGAGAGAGAGAGAGAGAGAGTGAGAGCAGGGGAAGAGCAGAGAGGGAGACACAGAATCCGAAGCAGGCTCCAGGCCCCAAGCTGTCAGCACAGAGCCTGACGCAGGGCTTGAACTCAGGAACCGTGAGATCATGACCTAAGCCGAAGTTGGATGCTCAACCTACTGAGCCACTCAGGTGCCCCTTAAGTCTTTCTTTATCTCCTGTTTACTAGATAATTATGACAGATTAGTTAGCTTGTAAGTAAGTTCTTAATTCCTTACCGTGGAATGAGAATAATAATAATAAAGGTACTACTATCTTAGGTTGTAAAGAGAGTGCTAAGCCTAGTATCTGACAAAAGATCTTTTTTGTTTTGTTTTATTTATTTTGAGAGAGTGCAAGTGGGGGAGGTGTGGAGGGGGCAGAGAGAGAGGGAGAGTGTAAGAATCCCAAGCAGGCCCTGCACTGTCAGCACAGAGCTGGTTGTGGGGCTTGAACTCATGAACTTTGAGATCATGACCTGAGTCAAAATTAAGAGTTGGTTGGTTAACCAACTAAGCTACCCAGGTGCCCCTCTGATAAAAGATCTTAATAAACACCTATTTTAATTAAAATTGTTAAAATTTAGTTTAGCAAATGATATACATTGAATGTTATATAAGCTAAAGTTTGAAAAGCTGAACTAGAAAATAATTTCTAACATCTAAAATTCTATTCACATATTGGTAAGTATGAACAGGTTTTTTTTTTAAGTTTTTTTTTAACTTTTTTTTTTAACGTTTTATTTATTTTTGAGACAGAGACAGAGCATGAACGGGGGAGGGGCAGAGAGAGAGGGAGACACAGAATCGGAAGCAGGCTCCAGGCTGTGAGCCATCAGCCCAGAGCCCGACGCGGGGCTAGAACTCACGGACCGCGAGATCGTGACCTGAGCTGAAGTCGGACACTTATTAAGACCGACTGAGCCACCCAGGCGCCCCAAGTATGGACAGTTTTTAGCTGGTAGTAAAAAATACCCAAAAGTAGAATGTTAAAGTCTTCATTGTTCATGCTAAGGAAGAGAGGATTGATAATAAAATACCCAGGTGGATCACAGTATTTTGTGATAAAAAGTTTTGCCTATTCTCTTCTTGTCCCTCCCACCCACTGCAGTCTTTTTCTTTTCTTTCTCATTTTTTTCTTTTTTTAATGTTTATTTATTTTTGAGAGAGAGAGAGTGCGAGTGCACAAAAGGGCAGGGAGAGAGGGTGACACAGAATCCTAAGCAGGCTCCAGGCTCCAGGCTCCGAGCTGTCAGCACAGAGCCTGACGTGGGGCTCTAACTCATGACCTGCGAGATCATGACCTGAATGGAAGTCAGACACTTAACCGACTGAGCTACCCAGGCGCCTCACCACAGTCTTTTTCTTAGGCATGAGAAAATATTGTTGCCTAGATTAAGATGATGGTTCTTGTGGGTGATAAACAGCAATTAATAAGGCACAGTTAATCTTCAAAAGAGATTGTTAACTCGGAGACCCATGATTATGGTAGTCCATAAATGTACCTTAGCACACTATTGAACCCATGACATTTCATACAAAATGTTCCTAATAGGTTTTCTGGGAGAAAAGTACTATTAATAGCCTTCATAAGATTATCAGTGACCAAGAATCATTATTTTAATATATTGACTAGAATATAGGTAAAGGAGTATGTTCACATTAAAAATAGTGTATTGATAAGAATTTAATATTTATGAGAATTACAGCTGTATTAATATTTTGTATTTTTCTTCCTATCTTCCTATTTAAATAAACATTGTAAACTTTGAGAAAATAGAGAATCAACGTGTAAAACAAAAAGGCATGCTACCACCCAGAGTAACAACTGGTAACTTTTTGGTATAGCCCTGGCATGAACTTGTGAACTATACAGTTTAAAATTTTACAAAATATGATTTTATTACATTTATGTTTTAGAGTCTGATTATAGTTGACTGTGTATGAAAAATCAGTCTCTCCATGTCCTCAGGTATTATCTGTCATCATTTTTTTTTTTTTAATTTTTTTTTCAACGTTTTTTTATTTATTTTTGGGACAGAGAGAGACAGAGCATGAACGGGGGAGGGGCAGAGAGAGAGGGAGACACAGAATCGGAAACAGGCTCCAGGCTCTGAGCCATCAGCCCAGAGCCTGACGCGGGGCTCGAACTCCCGGACCGCGAGATCGTGACCTGGCTGAAGTCGGACGCTCAACCGTCTGCGCCACCCAGGCGCCCCTATCTGTCATCATTTTTAAAAAATTGTTTTAATATATTTAAAAAAATGTTTATTTTTGAGAAGAGAGAGAGAGAGCATGAGCAGGGGAGGGGCAGAGAGAAAGGAAGACATAGAATCCGAAACAGGCTCCAGGCTCCAAGCTGTCCGCACAGAGTCTGATATGGGGCTCAAACCCACGAACCATGAGATCATGATCTGAGCCGTAGTCAGGGAAATTGTATATGTTAGTTTAAAAAGTTATTATTTATTTTATTATTGCAACTGGGAATGGAATGGGAGGAAGACTAATTCAAAGTAGGCAGAGAAGATTAAGACAATAAATTGAAGAATACAAGTTAAGAAAAGAGCATATAAAGGTCTGAAAGTAATACCATGGATGATAAAAGCGTTGGCTGATAACAACGGTGCCTATTTTTTTTTTTTTTTTTTTTTTTTTTTTTTTGGACTTGTTTAGAACTTACCACAAAACAGGCTTAGGTTTCTGTCTTGTAAATTCCACATTCCTTACCAGACATTCAAGGCTCTTACTGTTTCCTACAAAGTCTACTTTTAAATTTTATTTCATGTTTTCTCTCCTGAAAGAATTCTGGGTACCAGCAAGGGTGAGGTTCTATCGGTTTTTTTATTTTCAGGCTAAAAATTGTGTCTTTCATACCTGCCATTTGTGGTTGATAAATGTTTGAGGATGTTGCTTTTATTTTTTCATTGTTTTAGTAAACTTTTATGTTTTTAAGTAAATTCTGCACCCAGCATGGGGCTTCAACTTGTGATCACGAGATCAAGAGTCGCATACTCTTTTGACTGAGCCAGCCAACTGCCTCAGTAAACTTTAAGAACAGTTTTAGAAGCTGTTGCTTTTGAATAGATGAGTGTATGTTCTACACTCTTTAAGGCTTTATGTTTTCTTTTGGCATTAAGAAATTTGGCGATATTGATAAATTGAGTGGGATATGGATATTGACCATTACTTATAAAGTAGTGCTTTTCATAAATTAGTTCATAAATAAAAAAAACCTTTTGCTGAGGTTGGATACCATGGATTAATGGTGTTTTGGTGTGTTCCATAGCACCAGGCCAGGAAAAACATTAGATCCATTGGAATATATGTTGTTAGATGGAATTATAGAATGCAAGTTGAAAACTAATTTAGTTTTGACATGTAGATTCCTCATGAATGTTGAGTTAAAATTTTTTTCTTATTTGGAGCTATGTATTTTATGCTAGACATTTATAGATTTTATCATGTTACGTTCTTTTTTAAAAATTCTTTTCATTTTTTAAAAAATTTAATTCTGGTATGGTTAATATACAGTGTCAAATTTGTTTCAGGTATACAGTATAGTGATCCAACAATTCTGTATATTACTCAACAATTCTACATATTACTCAGTGCTCATCAAGATAAGTGTACTCTTTTTTAATTCCCTACACCTATTTCATCCATCCCTCTACCCACCTCCCCTATGAAAGTCATCAATTGGTTCTCTAGTTAAGAATCTGTTTTTGGTTTGTCATCCCCCCCCCCCCCACCTTGTTCGTTTGTTTTGTTTCTTAAATTACATTTATGAGTGAAATCCTATGGTATTTGTCTTTCTCTTACTGACTTAATTTCGCTTAGCATTACACTCTCTGGATCCATCCATGTCCTTGCAAATGGCAAGTTTTCATTCTTTCTTATGGCTGAGTAATAATCCATGTGTATGTATATGCCACCCTTTTATCTGTTTACCTATTTGGACACTTGTGCTGCTTCCCTAATTTGGCTGTTGTAAATAATGCTACAATAAATACACAGATGCATATATCCTTTTGAATTAGTGTTTTCATATTCTTAGGGTAAATACCCAGTAGTGCAATTACTGAATTGTGAGGTAGTTCTATTTTTAATATTTTAAGGAATCTCCATACTGTTATTTTTTTAATTTTTAATTTTTTTAGTTTATTTGTTTTGAGAGAGAGAGACAGAGAGAGGGAGAGAGACAATTCCAAGCAGGTTCTGCACTGTCAGCATGGAGCCTGATGTGGGGCTTGAACTTACTAACCATGAAATCATGACCTGATCTGAAACCAAGAGTTGGACACTTAACTGGTGCCCACGTACTATTTTCCACAGTCGCTGTACCAGTTTGCATTCCCACCTGTAGTGCACGAGGGTTCCTTTTTCTCCACATCTTTGCCAGCAATTTTT